GCATTGTGATCCCAGCATTTGGGAAGTGAAAGGCAGGAGGACCAGAAGCCCAAAGTTGAAGAGTTATAGATTTGGCTCAGAGGTAGAGTTCTTGTATAACAATCACTAGACCTGGGGTTCAGTCCACAGCACTGGGAAAAAAGGGGTCCAACGTTACATTTGTGTACTGGCTGGTTTTGGGTGTCAACTTGACACAAGCTGGAGTCATCAGAAAGACAGGAGCTTCAGTTGAGGACAGGCTTCCATGAGATCCAGCAGTAATCCACTCAATTAATGACCAGTGGGGGAGGGGCCAGCCCATTGTGGGTGGTACTATCCCTAGGCTGGTGGTCCTGGGTTCTATAGGAAAGCAGAGTGAGAAAGCCATGTACAGCAAGCCAGTAAGCAGCATCCCGCCATGGCCTCTGCGTCAGCTCCTGCCTCCAGGTTCCAGCCCTGCTTGAGTTTCTGTCCTGTCTTCCTCCAATAATGGACTATGATGTGGAAGTGTAAGCCAAATAAACACTTTCCTTCCCAGTTTGCTTTTTGGTACTGATTTTGTCATGGCAGCAATAGAAGCCCTAACTAAGATACCTCAGTTACACACTAACCTCTAGGCCAACCAAGACTATATAAGAATCTTTTGCAAAAGAATGAAGAATGCAGACTAACAGGCAAGCTGACATCCACTGGGTTCTCCCAGCCTGGAATGTCATGCCCAGAAGGAAAAATCTGTCTTTTCAAATAAACAGGGAAATGCCAACAAATAAGAGATGCTTTGTATTTCATGTATTTCATAAGAAAAAAATGAAATGCCCACTTTGAGTGCCAGCAGAGAGTAAAGATTTTAGAGAGAGGGACAGCTGGGGTGGGGAGCATCTTAATTCATCATCAAATGAGCAAAGCCATGTCTCCTTAGGTCCTCTCCTGCTACAGAACAAATATGAAGCTTGAGTTTGCTCCAGCAAGACAGGATCTAACATCTCACCCGGCAACTGGTCCCTCAGCTCCTGATTCTATTCCAGAGGTGGCAGAATAGATGATTCCAAGAGCATCCATTAATCAGGCACCCTGCCAAGACAGTACATACCATTGGAGCAAACCCTACACAAAACCTTCCTCATCTTCCACATGGAGAAACTGGTTTGAAGAGCAATCACTGCTCCATTAGGTGAAGGACTGCAGCAGGAACCTGAATTTCCAGTCAGTAATGTATCGCTCAGGTCAGGCGAGTCACAAATTGTACCACAGGAAAGATCCAGACATTTTCTGGGTGTATTTCCACACATGCAAGACACATAGCCTGCTATTATATAACTACTTGGCATCTGAGCTTATTTACAGAAAGTGATGGCTACTTTGACACTCAAGATACATTGATGTTACAGAAACTGAAGTTACAATGAAACTACGAGGCCATTTGGGGAGCCAGCCAATGACACTAAAGTTTTGGGAATGTTTGGCTCTCTAAATTGAAACAGCAGGATTCACATGAGCATGGCTGCATCCGTTTCAAAGCCTGTAGAGTTAAAGTCTCTCTCTCTCTCTCTCTCTCTCTCCATATATATATATATATATATTTTTTTTTTTTTTTTCAGTGCTTGCACTTGGCAAAGAGCTGTAGACCCAAAGACTCTCGTTTTGAATTAAAATTCACATGCGATGAAGCTTTGGAAGCCTGCTGATTCAAAACTAAAATTGTAAATGGACAGAAAGCAGAGGAATGATGCAGAATGTTTTCAAACTTAAATATATATCAGAGACTGGAATAGTCATCAAGAGTCAAAAAAAGGTCATCCAGCAGGACCTGTGAGACTGACTGTGTCAGCCCAATGGACATGACAGAATTTCTAAGGCCAGTCAGTGGTTAAACCATCTTTGTCACTGGGTCCTGCCCTCACTGATAAGGTTGTGCTTTCATCTCAGCAAAACTTAGGCAGAGGATATAACTGCACTGGAAACTTGTATTAATTCGTTTGTAGTAAGATGACAAATTCTTTCTAAGTTTGTCCAGAAATGGTGAAAAAAAAATCAACACAATTTGGTTGTGGAACCATATTAAAACAGGAACATACTATCCAATTTTATTTTATTTTATTTGAAATTTAACTTGTTCTTTAATTTCACACCCATTGGTGTTTTGCCTGTGTGTATGTGTGTATCGGGGTGTTGGATCCCTTAGAACAGGAGTTACAGACAGCTGTGATTGCCAGGTGGGTAGTGAGAATTGAACTTGAGTCCTCTGAAGAGCAGCCAGTGCTCTTAACTGACGAAACATCGCTCCAGCTCCTCCAATTCCCTGCTTGTAAAATATGTCTTCTGGACTTAAACACACATGAACACATGTACAGTGTATATAAAATGTGAATCTGTATGTTTGCCCCATAACATCAATCAAAAAAATCTAGAATCTAACCTAATTCAATCATGGATCTCCTGACAAGTCCCTGAAGCAGTAAGTTCTCCACTCTCAGTCTGGACGCAGGCTCTTCACAGACCCACAGATCTGGGGCTAAGGAGGGGGACACACCACTGACAGTGGTACAGAGGACAAAGGCTGGATGTTCATCTCCCCATCCAAACAAGTAGGCTTGCCTGAGTGTGCGCATGATGTACAATGATGGCCGTTCAACCGAGCAACCTGACGGCTGGCTTTATCCAGGAAGCAGAGCGACCTAACCTCTTCATTCTGCACGGGACAAAGAAACAGCCAAAGCAGAAGTCAGCATCGCTCAGCTAAGCAGTCCGAAGTGGAGGCCCCAGGGTCAGCCTCAAGGGCGGGGATGGGGAAAAGAACCAAGATGTTGCCATTTTACATGAGTTTTTGTTGTTTTGCAACAGTGGGAGAAAAAAAAAAAACTTTCAAATATAAAACTTTTCTCTTTTATAACACCTGTGAGGTAGACCGGTCAGGTAACAGTAGCAATGAACAAGCAAAAATTAACTATGACACAGGGTAGTTATGTAACTTACCTGAAGCCACCAGCCACAAAGCAGCACCACAGGTCCTTCCTCTCCTAACAGTGACAAGTGGGCCCCAGGTACAGCTTACTCATAAAGTACTTGTCCATCATGCAGTGTGTGTGGGGGCGAGGGGGCAGAAAATCCAGGATGCTACTGAAATAGGCCGAGAGAAACCAGCTTAGATTTGAACTTCCACAGGCAAGTTTTCCTCTTTATTTTTTCATTATTTTATGTGGATGAGTGTTTTGTCTGCATATACATCTGTGCACCACACGTGTTCCGGTGGTGGAAGCAAGGAAAGGATGTCATAACCCCAGGGACTGGAGTTACAGATGGTTGTAAGCCACCATGTAGGTGCTGGAAATTGAACCTGGGTCTTCCGGAAGAGCAGGAAATGTTCTTCACCACTGAGCTATCTCTCCAGTTCTAGAATATCGTGTCTTAATCTCAATTCTCAAGAAGCCAGGAACAGGAAAATAATTTGAGCTTTGGAGTCCTATGCACTCTTTTTCTGGGTTACTTAAGTTACCTTTGTGGTTCTCATCTTATGTTCAATAAAATTATATATAATTATGTATTAGAATGTTATTATATAAACATGAAATGTATCCCCAATTGCTCATATATTTCAGGCTTGGTATGGAGCTGATAGATTCAGTCATTGGAAGTCTCTGGAACATGAGGATCCTGACCTGATGATAAACAGCTAATTTGGTGATTGATACAGTCATGATTGATGGCATTACTTGGAGGTAGTGGAAAATCTTGGAGGCAAGATTTAATTGGAGAAAGTAGGTGAGGTCTTTGGAGGGATTTTATTATCTTTCATTTAAAAAAAGTTTTATTCTTAATTATCCATGTCTGTGCACAGGAGTGCAGGGGCCTACAGCGGCCAGAAGAGGTCATCAGACGTGAGTTACTTTTCTGTTACTGTGATAAGACACCCACAACCAAAGCAACTTACAGAACAGTTTATTTGGGCTTATGGTCCCAGAGGGATGGGAACTCCTCCTGGCTGGGAGGCATGGCAGCAGGCATAGCAGCAGGAACAGGATGCAGAGGACAGCAAACTGCAGGCAGGCCAGGCTTTTTACTCAGAGCCTGCCCCAGTGACAAACTCCCTCCAGCAAGACTGTACCACCTAAACTTCCCAAACAGCACCACCCACTGGGGACCAAGCATCTAAACGCCAAAGACAACAGGGACATCCCATTCAAACCACCACAGAGCCCCTGGACTGGAGTTACAGGCAAATGTAGCTGCCCAGCACGGCTGCTGGGAACCCTACTGGGGCCCTCTGTAAGACACTGGCATGCTCTTAACTGCTGAGCCAGCCCTCCAGCCCCGTGAAGGGCTTTTCTTACCATGCCCCCTTTTGTGTCTGTTGCTCTCTACTTCTTGGCTACCATGAAGTGTGCAGCTGTGCTGTGCCTCACTGTTCTGCCACGCCACAGAACCAGAAACAAAGGATCCAGCTGGCCAGAGAGTGGAACCTGGAAATCACAATCCAAAGGAAATCCTTCTTTCAAAATGTTTTCTCGGGTACTTGTTACGGTGACAGTTAACACAGAACAAGACAAAGACTAGGTGTGATGGTGAATTTTGTCAACTTGATGAGATCTGAGATCAGTTATGGGACACTCCTTTGGCCAGGGCTACTAGAATATTTCTTAAAATGATTAACTGAAGTGGGGGGAGACCCCCTCAGGGTAGGAAGCACTTTCTGGTGGGGACCCAGCTGCAAGGACATTCTGGGGAACATCTGTGGCCTTTCGCCTGCCTGGCTTCACCCTCGCTGGGGAGTGACTCTAGGCTATTGCCACCACTGCTCCTGCCGTCCTCTGCTGCCACTGGAACCCAGGTTAGGCCCCATCACAACTGATTTGCTGGAAGTATAGCACTTGGGAACACGAGCACAATGGCAATGTGTCATGTGATCTTTTCAGATAGATGGCAAGTATCACATCCTGTGTATCGATATGGCAAAATTAAAATATACTAATTCAGAGGCAAAACAAGTAGTTTTGAAGTGAAATGGGGAAAAAGAGAATTCACAATGCAAAAATTGCAAAGTTTATTTTCTTAAATAAAATACTATATTCATATCTATACAAATAATTATTACAACCATTAAAATGTTACATTTAACAATAAAAATTTCAAAACTTTAAACAAGAGCATGTTTTGGAATATTCACACCCTAATACAATGCATTTGTAAAAAGATGTCAAAATAAACAGGACCTATTCTTATATACAATGGTCGGACAGTTTTGATCCTATTATACATATCTGCTCTGTATTCCATTACAAAACAAATTAGTTTCCATTAGAAGTATAAAGCAGGTGATTTACAGTTTATAGGACACAGTGCACAGCACAGTGCTGGCTGGGTCATAGATAAAATATTACACTACTGAAGCACTAAAACTCACGTTTCCCTGGTGTTTGCTCCTACAGTAAGCATCACACCCAGTGTATCTATAAATAATCTGTGAAGGTAATCATGTTCTCAATTTTCAACCTTTAAAAATAAAACAAATGAAAATACACACACACACACACACACACACACACACACAGCCTGCTGAAAGCAGAATTTTCCTTCACAGTAACACAACTGCAGCGTCTTAAGCCACACTGTCTGGTCCCTTCTTGGAAGATAACAGTTCAACACTTCACAAATTCAGCACGAGAGTCAAGCCCTGTGCCCTTACAAATGAAAATTACTTTAAGACTCCAGGAGCAGGAGGGCAGAGAGGCCTCAGAGAACATGAAGACACAGTTAAACAGGCTGAGCTTCAGTTCCCTCTTACATACTGCATATACAGCTGCACACATAACCGGGCCCCAAAAGTTAAAAATCATCTTTAAAAAAAAGTGTGCTACATTACAAGAGAAATTTTGTCCACGTCTCATGGAATCTAATGATGGGTTACGTATTCATTCAAAAGAACTTCAAGATTGTGCCCAACATTCTCAACCTAAATTGACTTATGTTTATGAAGCACCTGACAACATATATGTTCAAAGTAAAAAAAAAGAGAGAGAGAAGAATTGGAGAAGGAGGAGGAAGAAGAGGTGGAGGTGATTGGATTACCAGGTAGAGTTTATGCAAATGTAGAAATACAGACACTGAAGGACTGCCTGCCATTCAAGCAGTGTTTACAGGTTCAGTTACACATCTCACTACTGACTCTGTCAACAGTGGCTCAGGGGAGCTAAGGCAAGAGTGAAAAGCATCCCGTGTACTTGTCATCTAGGAGGCCTCTGACTACAGCCTAGACCAACCCTGGAGCTCCTTTGTTGCCACACAGGGCTGGCCTGGTGATATGTTCTGGTCTCTGTTCAGAGGCACGGTTTCGGGCAGAGTGCGGTACCAGGGCAGAGGCATGGGGTCAGGACCAGCAGCTCTGAGCCCAAAGTCCTGGGTCTCCCAGCCTGCCTGGACTGCCTCCATCTGAGCATGGTGAGAACCACAGGAGCTCCAAAATACAGTTTAGATTTTCCTATAGAAGAATTCAGCCCAGCACAGTAGAACACAGAGTATATAGTTAAGCAAAGAACAAGTAAGCAAACAAACAAACAAACACAAAATCTTTTTGGTAGAACTTTGGGGAAGGAAAACATAATGCTAACATTTAGCTTGAAAGGCATCACTGAAAGAAGCTGATTTGCATAAACACATTGCAGAATCACCACTCAGAGATTGTGTCTCTCTTGCCACCGGCTAATTGTTGCCCTCCAGATCTAACAGCCACAGGCACACTTCCTCCAGGTAGCCAGCGCCTATGTGACAGCCCTGCAGTGACTTTCAGGCCTCTGAGGATATGAACTGAAGGCCATTCTATTTTGGTACAACTTTTGCCTTTCCTTCCGCCATAGGGGAAAAGGTCACCAAACCCAGGAATGCAGTCATTCCCACATGCCGAAATCTCTTAAATCAACTTTAATGGCATTTTGAGGTATTGTTGCCCTTTAAGAGAGAGGCCTAGCAGTTGCCAAAAGGCGGACGCTGGGACCCACTACCACACACTGATCTAACAGAGGGTGGGCCTATCACATCCAATATAGGGAAAAGTATCCCAGGGATGTGGCACAGCTAAAAACAAGCAAGAGGCTACGCACCTGTGCAAAGGAAAGATAAACTAAGAAAGAAGCACAGAAACAAGTTTTAACCCTTTAACATTTATGTTTTCATTAAAATGTGTTTCTACATCTTTTTTTGGAGTAGAAGTTTTAGCCTCTCCATGAGATGGCTAATATTAGAAGGCAATATACAAGGCTAAAGAAGTCCCCTTAAGATGCTTAAACAAGTGTGTGCTTTAGAAAGGCTGATTTCCAAAAGCTGACCTTCTGCAGTTCGGCGTAATCCTGACCTGGGTTTGCGACTGCTGCAGACACTCCTACCTCCCAGCCCACGGTTCGGATCCCTCGGACGTCTGAACACACACCGCTGTGGAAATCCTGCTCCCAACTCAAGAAAAGGAGTGAGCTCCGGCATCTCAGAGCTGTTCTAGTAAGAACAAATTACAACTCCTGAAGAAGTTGAAGACATAAAAACCTAATGTTCGCTAACAATATTACAGTGGATTTTCTTCATCTGTGAGTGACATATTTGACAACCTCATTGAAGCTTACAGAAATCTAACAGTCTTCATCAGAGCCTCCTGTGGGATGATGAGAGGGGCCAAGCACTCTCAGGGGCTCCTTATGATCAATAGTTAGAACAAAACGATTCAGGCAGGGACTCTCACTTGGGAAGCAAACATGATTTTGAGTATTTCCAGAAATTACGTTATCTGTAGAGACACTTTATAGAGCCACGGGAATAAGCTGAGGACGATGACAGAACCTGAGTGCATTTTCTGTCATTACATCAAAAATGTTTCACCCAGACATTAACAGAAACCATGTTCCTCCCCGAATCATAGAGCATTAATTATTAACAGAAAAGTACCCAGACTTTTAAACTCAGTAGGAGCGCAGCGTGGACTCTTTCTCACCTGAGTCCATGTATGAAATGATCTCTAATACACAAATGCATTCTGTCTTTAATTAGAGCCACATGCAAGCAGGAACCAATTTTCTTTTTTTTTTTTTTTTTTTGGACTTTCATGTCTCTCTCCAGAGGGTCACAAAAGATTGCGAGGCAGTCAACATCACAATACTGGACTCTCAGCTTGAAAGCCCTGACAGTGCAATGCTGTCTCAGCATGGAGCTGAGCTGCAGCCGGTCAAGCACACACAGACAAACCAAAGTAGGAACAGGCTGTAGGGCTCTGTGCGGCAGGCAAGGCAATCGCAAGTGGAGCTTCTCAGCTGGGTGGCAGAGCACACCTCTAGTCCCAGCCACCTAGGAGGCTGAGCACTGCTCATGCCCAGGAACTTACTGCCAGTCTGGACAATGTAGCAAGATCCCTATCTCAGAAACACAGCACAAAGCTGGACTTTGGCCAGGGCATATTACCTTAGTTCCATTAGAGCAAGCCTGCCCTTCAAAACCCAAGAGCCACCATGATGTGAGGACGCATGTAATAGACAGACAGCCACTGAGAAGAGAAGGTGGGGCAGGAGGATGACTCGTCATAGAGAGCACTACCTTTAGCGAAATCAGCAGATCGGACCTTTCGAGTACAAAGAAAACTGTGAATAGTAATGCCTAAAAGCAATTCATAAATGTTTCCTTTTCCTTAGTAGCCTTTCTACTGTGGTATCCATGCAATCCGTTGTGGTAGTGATGCAATCGTGAAGTTCTCTTTTAACCACAGGACTCGTGTGCAGGGAGGACACACACACACTTGCTTTGTTCACCAGGATGGGTGATTTTCAAGGGCAGCGGAAACAGAGGGCTTTGGTGACAGCAGTTGACAGAGGCACAAGCAACCCTTCTGATGAGCCTTTAGATAGGCATTCAGTGGTATTGACTCTCACCAGGCCTCGGGAAACTGTCTATATATATATATATATGGAAACCAAACCAACCAACCAAACGAATGAAAAACAAAAACTCCAAAAACCAAAACCTATGTTGGTCCTTGGGCTTGCTTCCACCAAGACAACAGGTCTATCTCTATGTACCTCTCTCTCCATTCAGTATATTCATTTATAGTATCTGACAGAAAAGACCCATGTTCCATATATTTTTTTTTATATCATGGATGTCAACTTTAATGATGTACTCCTTCTCAGTATCCTTAGCTCACTGTTGTCATTGGCTGTGACTGCAGTAATGACAACTGCGCGACAGGGCTCCGGTTAATCTCTGGTTTAACAGAATGTAGCAACAACTGATAGCTATGAGTTTAAATAGTTTAAAAAAAATTCAGTACAAGCAATTTTTTTGTAGTTTTGAGTTCTCATGATTCAATATATGCTTTTAAATTTGTTACTAATTTGGTAGGGTTAAAAAATATCTACAGCAGGACCCCTTTCCTCCTCTTGAGTTGCCTTGTGCAGCCTGAATATGAGGGTTCGTGCCTAGTCTCATTATAACTTACTATGTTGTGTTCAGTTACTATTCCTGGGAAGCCTTTCTTTTCTTTCTTTTTCTTTCTTTCTTTCTTTCTTTCTTTCTTTCTTTCTTTCTCTCTCTCTTTCTCTCTCTTTCTTTTTTACGGGAAATAGAAGAGGAGTAGATCTGGGGGAGGTGAGGGAGAACTGTAATTGAAATGTAATGTATAAGAGAGAAAAATTTTAAAAACCTACAGCATGTTTTTCTATGCTTTAGAGCAGGGTTTTTCAACCTATGAGTTGTGCTCCCTTTGGGGGATCTTTCACAGGGGATGCCTAAGCCCATCAGAAAACAGATATTTACATTACAATTCATAACGCTAGCAAAATTGCAGTTATATAATAATGAAAAGAATTTTATGGTTTGGAGTCAACAGAATATGAGGAACTGTATTAAAGGGCCACAGCATTAGGAAGGTTGAGAACCACTGCTTTAGAACAAACCTCAGTTTCCCATTTGTAGACAGTAGTTCTAATGCCTTTTCCAATTTCTTCATTTTTAATTGAGATAAGATTATATCTATTTATCATGTCCGACATGATAAATAAATATATATGTGATATACATCTTTAATAGTAAGTACTAGTCTATTCTTTAAAACCCGCTTTCACATGCACTCACTCATGAGCTCAAGAGACATAGAATGTATTTTTGTGAAGCACCATTTCATACCTACAAAAAATAATGAATTCATTTTCCTATTATAATTGTTAAGAAGGATAAAATGCAGTTTACAATGCCATATTTAATATAAATAATCAGCAAATTAAAATACTGAGAAAACTTAAAACTATTCTGAAGTATCTGAAAGGCTCAAATGTGTCTTCTAAACACAATATTTACTAAGCAGTTCTAACATTTAAGTGATTGTAAATTAATTTATTTCAAGACCAAATAAATAGAATGAAGAGAGAATAGTAAATCAATTCAACTGATGAAACACTGGTCACTAACTGACCCTAGGAAAAGCCACAATACAGCTGCTGTTATTCTTTGGCCTAATGCAAAACCCAAGTACTAACTGGAGGACATTTCTGCATTTGTCTTAGCTTTGTATTTTTAAGGCTCACTGTCTAAGGAAGACTTTTGCTCTACAGAACATTGGCACATTAAAGGGTAATGTGGCTCCTTACTTTGAAGAACAAGACATGAAATTTAGGTAGTTTATTAAAAATTATAATTAAGAAGTCTCTGTATCAAAGCTCAAGAATGAAGGATTATCAAACACTTCATTTATTTTTATTCTGCTTGACATTTTTACTTATGGGAATTAAACTCATTATCAATTCATCACTTGCCAAGGTTCAGAACTGTTAAATGTTGCACCTAGTGATAAATCATGCTTTTTCAAGTTGCTGTTACTTTTGGATTTCCAACTTAAGCATCTCAACCCTCTCTTTTATCACTTATCAATAACAGAGTTTAAAAATCACAGCTTCTTTCTACCACGTAGCCTGTGACAAGATCTCATCAACTTCCGGTTGATTAGTACTTAGGGGGTAAAAGATTACAAAGCACACTTGGAAAGGTAAATTGTTTAGAAGATTAAAGAAAGTACATCACTCAGAAATGAAAGATGATTGTTTTGACAAGCCCAGCGTATGCATCCTCTCTGACGTGGCTTCCTTGAAGTCAGAAGCTAACTGAAAGAATGGTTATCCAATACAGCGACACACCCCCACACAAGCTCCCTCGATGTGCATGTGTACACACAACAACAGTTGTTATCTCAGCCCAAACCTGGACAGTTGGTTTCTCTGGGTTAAACAGCTGAGCTGCAATCGTGACCTAAGATATGGCTTATGTTGTGAGCAGGTCTGTTTGAGGACTGCTTGGAAGAGTCAGAAGCAGAGGAGTTTGCTATGGTGAGCAAAGGTGACATTGCTGAGCCATCAGGAAGAGCCGTTGCTATTTCCGGAAACAATGATGTCATATTAAAATTCGATAGGTGAGAGTTGGCCATGTGCATTGGCGGCATCTCCGGGAGAAGAGGAAAACTCGGCTGAGCAAAGCCAACAGGCCTGGGAGGAGACAAAATTGATCCAAATCGGTTGTTTAAACTTCCACTGTTCACTTTCTCTGTGCTAGGATTGGAGAACATCTGATTAGAAAAATACGGGATTGAAATGTCATTGGACAGGGTAGGATGAGCAGGAGAGTATGGGGGATAGAAGGAGGGGAGAGTGTTTTGGGGGTCTACTGGGATGAGAGCTGGCGTTCGTGTGGCGCTGGGCTGAGTAACCTGCGGAATAAAGGAAGTATTAGCATTTATTGGTGGGTTCATGCCACCCTCAGGAATAAAAGGAAAACCAAAATTTTGTGACAGTGTATGCTGGTCAGGACCTGAATTATCATTAGGTACTTGTGGACTGTCAGGCATGAAGCGAACAATACTGCCTCTCTTGTCTGCAGCAGGCTGTTGTCGTCCGAGAATCATACTGCCGCTAGTAGAGAGAGGAAGATGGGGAAGACTAGGATCAAAGACATTACTGTGCCTTTGATTTCCAGAACGATTCCTTTCAGGTTGTCGGATTTTGGAACCACTGCTGTCCTGCAGGGGGTGTCTTGATCTCTGGGCAACTGAAGAGTTAGCCTGTCGAACAGGGGGCCCCTGGTCAGCATTCCCGTGAGACACAGGCGGATGTGGCAAAGTTGGCCTCACAACCCCATGCATGTTGGATGTGACAGGAGGGTTCATGTGGCCCTTGGTCCCATGACTGTCAGTAATCCTCATGGGATTGGACTTCTGTACAGAAACATTGGGACTTGTGTTTCGACCTTGAATATCCCCTGAGGAAGAGGAACTTGAAAAGGGAATATTCAAACTGCTGTTTCTGGGGTTAATTGCACCTAAAGACATGTCACAACTCTCCCTATTCTGACTTTCACTCTCTCTCCTAATATGAACACTTTCTCGAGCTGGGGGACAATTATATTCAATTGTTGAAGATGGACCACACTGTGTATTCCTCGGATGTTCTGAGAGTGACCTTTGACTCCCGATGACCTGATCACCAAGGTGAGGAGCAAGCAAACTCTGCATGAAACTCTGGTGACATGTATTCTCATTGTCCCTTGGTGGGACAGCATTTCCTGCTGGGATGCTCTGAACTGGTGGATAAGATAATCTCTTTTGTCGGTCGATTGGTGGTGGGCCAGTGTTCTGACTAATTCGAAAAGCCTGGGACTGCATACTTCTCAGTGATGGCACAGGGTTACCTATTTCATTGTTTCTTGAAGATTGTACTTCAAAATTACTCTGGGGCTGTTGGCTGGCTCCACCTGGTTTGAATGTCTGACAGTCAGAGAGGCGGATATCCGAGGTGACGGTATGGTCCATGCGACCCTGCATATTATGAAGCGCCAAGCTCTTATTTCTAGGAACATCAAGATAGCTTCTCATTTCGAGCTGATCTGAGACCCTGGAACCCTGAATCGATATGCCCATTCTCTGTTCTGGAGTTGAAGACGGCTTTCCAATGAGCGCCTCGGCAGAGTAACTTGACACTCGGTTTCTCTCCGGCCTGTGTGGAGCACAGGTCATGTCTGAAGACCTAGTCACAATACTTGGCTGGGACACCATTTGCTGCTCCAAGCCTCGTGAGGGTAAAAGCCTCTGCATTGGATTGTGGCCAGATACGTGGTCAGAAGAAACTCCTGAACCTTGCTGTCTGCTTCCAACATCCTGTTGCTGGTGTAGAATATCTTGACTGAGATGGCTCTGGGGATGGCTATGATGGCCCCGGCTAGTTGAAGGGTTTTCACAGGTCTTCTCCGGCTGGGAACTTGCAAAGTGTTGCTGCAGCTGTTGCTGCATCTGCTGATGGTGAGGATGTGGCTGGCTACTCTTGGGTCTGGACTGGTCAGTCCCATGGTGCTTTGGTTGTAAGGACAGCTGAGAGGTAGGAGTGCCCTGAACGAGATTTCTTTTCTTCTGTATCTGAACTTCCTGCTGTAGCGTTCTCTGTTGGTGCACAATATGGGGCTGGGAGTGGACAGCACTGTCTGCGTGAGGCACGTGATGTTGCAGCTGATACAAGTGATGCCTTTCTCTTAACTGCCCTGCTTGCTGCTGCTGCTGCTGCTGCTGCTTGATGTACAGATGGTTGGTGTGAAGGTGAGACACGCCTTGAGCTGGTACATGCTGCTGCAGGACCTGCAGATGTTGACTTGCCTGGGTTTGCTGCTGCTGCTCAGCCACTGAAGGCTGAGAACTGCACTGAACATCTGTCTGCCTTAATGCAGGAGCCACAAAGTTGTTTCCAGGTGGGAATAATCGTGTGAGGCCATCTCCATGTGCTGAGTTGCTGACAGGTGCAACTGAGTTGGAAGAGTTTGGGGGGATCTGACTTGCCATCATCTGAGTTTGATCAGGAATGCTGTCTGGAGTCCGGCTCATCAGGGGCATACTTTCAAGCCTGAGAGGGGCTGGCTGACAATGCTTTTGGCGTTTGGCTGAAGACAGTAAGAGATCATCTTGTACAGTGCGCTTTGCAGGGTCTTTACGGCTTTCATGGGTAGGCTTTGAAAGGGGTTCTTGAATCTGTGGATTTGGTATGGCGCTAGTCATGCTATTCAGCTGTTCCTGGGAGTATTCTGTCATCAGAGGTGGCACAGGAGGCTGGCTGCCATAAGAACTGGATGACACAGTCATATTAACCGTCACAGGGACAGATGTTTGCTCTGAGGTCTGCGACAGACCTGTGCAGCTGACCAGAGGGCGGCTGATGCTGTTCTGATGGGTGAGATTATTCACACTTAAACTGGTGAGACTCGGTGGCTGGGGCGCTGGCACCTGTAAGGAGGCATTCGATGTTTTAATTCCCAGAGAACAGCTTGGCTTTTCGAGAGGCCTATCGACTGTTACTTCCACTGCATCCTGAGAGGTAAATTCATTTGGTGTTGCATCTGCCTGTCCTATGCAAGTCTCCTTGTGGATCTGTGGTTTAAAAGGCTGCTCTCCCTCTAAAGAGGTTTCAGAAGGTTTTGAAGTGACTTCCCTCATATCAGTCTCCACGCCAACCCTTCCCTTCTCAATGTTCTCCTGGTCCAAAATCGCTCTTGCTGCAAGGGCCACAATATCAGTTTGCTCGGTGAAGGAACAACTGTCACATGTGTTAGCCGTTGTACTGCTGGTCACATCTTCTCGGGCTGTTTCAGGAAGCATTGATGCAACCGAGAAACTACGACTGCTGCCAGAGCTGGTTGACATAGGAGAGTCGGCCTGCCTGCTGGTGAGCAGAGAACTGTTAAGAACCTCTTGATCAGGGAGGCAGGAGTGGTGCTGTGGTGGATCTCTGTCACTGTTCATTAGCAATAGTTCCTGCTTGGGATGCAAATCGACGTTAGAATCATCTATCTTGGAATTTTCTGGAGAAAAGTCAGGATGATCCATCTGCACTGTAATAGATGATTTCTGAAGATCTTTTTCTTTAGTAATTTCAGACAGCAACATAGTTAGACCTTGCCCCTTTAAAGGCCCTGATGCTTGCATGGTGTCTAAAGAATCCTGCTGAGCTGGGCAAGGTTCTGCCACCATTTCTATCTCGGAAATACAGTCAGTGCTTGAAGTGTTTGTAGTGGATGACACACCAGAAACCTGAGAAACCAAAATCTGGGACTCAGAAGATGGAATCAACACGTTGGTTGAAGTACAAGCTTTCGTAACATTGGACAATGCTACAGTAGTTGGCGGTGTACCCTGAGAAGGCTCTTGCAAAATGGGAGTAGAATCTTTGGATTTTGCTGGGGCCACTGCAAATTGTTCATTTGTTTCAGATTCTTGGGAGGATGAGCTATAGTCTTCTGCTGACTTAGTTTTGGATACAGACTCAGGGATTACTGATACAGAATTCAGAATGTCCAAAGAATGTGAAGCAGAAATACTAACATTCTTTGCCTGGGACACAGCAACAGATGGTAGGCTAGCAGGAAGGCTGGCCAGCAGTCCTTCACTACATGACGGCTCTGATGAGCTGTCTGTTCTGGGGCTGTCTAACTTGCCTGTATCTTTGACTGAGTTCATGGGACATGCTGGCTTATTAGCTGCTAAGTGTTTCTTGGCACCTGGCTTCTTGTTCAGTCTTTTGGATTTCATGGTAGGGGGCAAACAAGTGACAGTGTTTGTAGAGGAAGCTGTTGCAAGATTATAAGTACTGGGTAGTATGGCTGAATTCTCTGTTGTCACGGTAGGTGGTACAGCTGTTGTTAGTGAAACACAGTTAGCTGGGCTGGTTTGACTGTTTGCAGAAGTCTGAGGATTAGCAGACTGACTAATAGACAATTGTACACAGCTCTGCCCAGCCATCTGTGATATGCTTTGATTGAGGCTGGCCAAAGCCCCAAATGTGTTCAGGGCAACATTGGTATTTGGATCTTCGCTGGTGGTGGGTTGGATAATTTGCATAGGGGTTTGATTTGTAGTTCCTGATGAAGACATCACAGGCTGCAAAGCAAAGAGCTGTCCATTTAAAGAAATGGTTTGAGGCTGTTGTTGGTTTGACATGGTAACAGAAAAAGTTTGTGTTGAATTAGACGTGGAAAGAGATGAAGGTCTTGGTAGTATGTGGACAAGATGCTTTCCTCCAAAAGTCTGTGGGGCTGGCACAGTTTGTACTGAATTGTGGGACCCTATTATAGCACTGGCGCCATTGACAGGAAGCCGAACAGGACCAGGATGGGGAGCAGAGAGGAGTGGCAATGGGTTCTGATTAGCTGCCTGTATGATGACAATTTGTTGACCTACTGTTTGGTTGGGAACCTCTGCCCTCATCACTGCCGGGCATGGGGTCGTGCTGGGTGGCTGAAAAATGATAACATTTTGGTTGGCTGGAGCTGCAGTGACAGCTGACCCAACTGGCTGAGCCATCTGAATCACTTGCATTGCTGAATTCAAGGGAAGAATATTTTTTGGAGGCTGAGATTTAACTTGTGGCTGGGCAATTAGTGGCTGCATAGGGAAGGGTGGACACGAAGGCAAAGTTACCACTACTTGCTCAACTGGCTGCCCATCTGGTGGAAGGGAATTATTTAAGGTGTTGCCTGTAGCCACATGCTTGTGTTTGCCTGGGGTAGGGCTGGTGCCAGCCTCATTTAATACTGGAGTCACAGCAGAAGAAGGTGTCTGGCTTAAAGGCTGAATTGTGTTTCCAGCAAGATGCAGTGTAGTCCATGTTGTCTGTGTGTTTCCAGCTGAAGAAATTCGGGTAAGGCTGTTGATGTTTTTCAAATCTGAAGCACTAACAGTTGAAGAAGGCAGAGAACAAGAAAGAGTCCAACCACTGTCCAAAGGATTTGCAGACAGACTGCTCACCGGGAGGGCGGCCTTTGCTACTGCAGCGTGAGCTGGTGCCACTGCGGTCGTGGTGTTTACCGAGTCGGCTGTCTTGCTAACACTCGCTGGAGAAGAATCACCCGTAGACTTAGGAGGCTGGGAGCACGCCGTGGTGGTAGCTGACACAGGGGTGCTCTGAGAATCGCTACTGAAGTCCTGCACGCTTCGGCCAGACTTGGTTTCATGATACACCTCAGTGGCAGCTGCTGAGTGGCTGGAGGAGGTGCCTGTGACACACGCAATTGCTTTCTTAGATGATTCGGGGCTTTCCTGCCCATTGTTATTTTCTGAAGCATTTTGATCATTTAGGCATGTGTTTAAGGAACGATGTTCCTGAGGTTCAGGGCCAACTGAGACGGTGATCAGTGAGCCACCAGTGGCACCAAGCACACTTGATTGGCTATCGGAAGTAGAAAGTTCAAGAATGTTTTGAGCAGAAATGGCAGTGGGAAGACAAAGAGGAACAGGCTGGTTGGCAGGCAGTGCAGACACTGTAGCCTGATGCCATGGCTTGTTTTCAGAAGGGTAAACTCCAGAAATAGACACAGGAGTCACAAGCTTGCAGGTCCTCTGTACTGGCACCACATTGGCGGTCTGCTTTTGCAAGCTGTGAGCAACATTAAAGGTTATTCCCTGAACAGCTGTCCCCTGGCTGTTTCCCCCAGGCTGGCTCCCATTGGAATAAACAATGATGTTTTTTTGAACCTGTTCACTTGGAATAACAACAGACACCTTCGAGTTTTTCAGATTTCCTTTCCAGTGGATTGTGGGGTCATCATATAAGCATATGTCATTTGCTTTCAATAATTCAATATATCGGCCATTTTCTTTTTGGATTTCTTCCAGTTGTTTTCGTAGCTTTTTAATTTCTTCAGCTAAAATATTAGAAATAAAGATGTATAAATACTGGTGAATGTCAGTAATTATAACAACTTATGCAAAACTAGATGTTCTAAGCCACTGAGTTCCAATTCTGGCCTTCAGATGCCTCAGCAGAGCCATGAGGCTCCAGCTGCCATTAAAACTTTCTGAGTAACATCTCAAGCTTCCTGGATATTTCTTTTTAACTCTACACCTTTAAAGGCCAACCCTTGAAAGTCTCCTATGGTGTAGAAGTCTCAACATTCCCAATCCAAAACTTTCAAGTGAACAGAAGAAGTGGGTGAGGGGGGCAGACTAATTCCTGGTAATGTGCTTTTGATAAGCTAAAGGCCTCTTTGTTCTGGGTTCCAAGTTTAGGGTTACCAGAATGGACAGACCTTGTCAACTGTATGATACAGAGTGCTATGGTGTAGCCCTGGGAGTTAACTCTTAACTGGGGCTTGACTCAAGTCCATCAGCTTGTGAGGTATCTTTCAAAGCAACCTGACACAGTAGCCCAAGGGTAGCCAGGATGTATTATATAGGATATCCTCATAGCTGCCCACGGTGGACACTTGTGTTATTATCAAGATTGACTGATACAATTCTTAATTCTGCTACTGTCCCATCTGATGGACAAAGGCAGGTTCAAACAATGCCAGATATTACCTTTCCTTTTGGCAAACTGTGTATGTGTGTGTGTGTGTGTGTGTAACCCTGTAAGATTACAGGGTTAGAAGCTTTCTGGCACAGAACAAGAGCATACCATTGTCCCCTCATTAGGCTTCTAAAAATGGGCCCATTAACCTCCTGGACAGGAGCATGTTCTGAAGGTAAAGTCGTCTCTTCTATAGATGTTAGTATAAAGCCTGCCTCCAATACAGATTGGAACAGGGGTCTCTTTGACCACTGTTCTCCAAGCCTTCAGCCATTGAGTATGTTCTATGGGAATGGTTCCTTTGGCCATGCTGGTCTTTGAGAAGGTACTGCCCTCTACTCTGCATTAAATGATATAAACAATCTACTACCAAAAGAGCAACAACAAGAACAAAAAATATTGGGATCAGGGAGTAATAGAAAATATGAAAAACACAAAAACACAAAAAACAGAGAAACAATGATCATAACGGGGATGACAAAAGAGCCATTGAAGTTGCTTCAGGTTCTGCGCCAACCCCTGGCTTGACTGCTGGGCCTTTTCTGAGCCCCATGAATCTGGTAGTTTTTCATTAGCTTCCCTTTTCTCTAAGGTAGCGTGACTGTTTGACTTAGCCAGTGTTCTAAGCCAAAGGAACTTCCACTAGAGAAGTCCGTAGACCACTCTAACCTCAAAGCATCTTGTGGGGTACTTCACGATGCTCCCCAACACCAATATGTCTAACTGTCTGATGGAATCACCCTTAAGGGTGGTCTGCATCATCAAAGGAGAGCTGACTCAGGAAAGCACCTTTTTAACTGAATGTAAGGAAGAGTTCTGAATGCTGCCCTCCTGGACATAGTTTTCAGTAACATTCTTGCCCATCACAAGCATCATGACATAACACTATCCAACCTCAGTCAAACACTGTTCCTTTTAAGGTGGTCTACTAGATTGTTGTGGGAAATTCTCTGTTCTTTTCAGAGCCATAATAAAGGGTCGCTCAGCTGGCCTCCCACCCTGAGCTTCCCACTGGCCTAGAGTGTTTCCTTTCAGCCTCTCTCCAGTGCTTCTGGAAAAATCAAAACCCAGTACAAAATGTTCCACCTAAAAATCAGATATCGTTACATGAGCCGACAGTTCAATACCCACTTTGTGTTAATGTAAACAATCATGAGTGAACATTAGTCTTTCTGAAACAGGGCACTGGTGAAATATGGCCCAGCTCTATCCTTGTTTATAAGCTACCCTCAGCAGGGGGTTCCTCTATGGTAATCTTCTGAGAGTTTCCTAAAAGCAAGGGCCAAGTGGAGCAAAGGAGAGTGAACACTGTTAGTTTTATGGCTGAGGCACACATAAAATACAAAGAAGTAATCAGACCTGAATGTACGTGTTTGTACAAGATTAAAATTGAGTGCAGAGGAGAAAGATGAGTTTAACTGCAATGATCTCATTTGCAACACTATTCTCTTGGGCTGCTTGAGGGCAGGTCTATTCTGATTTGAGGATTGGCAGAGCTTTCCGTGTCCTCACGTGCATGTCACTGCAACACAAACACCTAAACACAGTCTAACAAACAGGAGACAGCAAAACTCCAGAAGGCTCTACCTTGTTCACTGTTCCCGCCGTTAAGCAGGAGTTCATCGTTTTGCCGCTTCAGTTCTGTTATATACTTAAAGGCTTGGTCCAGGATCATGTTCTTGCTCTGCAACAGAAAATTAATGACTTAAACATTTCATTAAAAGGTAAAACCTGTAAGAAAACATGTAAAATGCTTGATTTATCAGATGTGATATGTAACTTGTTAAAATTCAAATTAGGTACAAAGTTCAAAGGCTTCTATTGTTCGTTTTTATTTTTACTAAACACCTTCTGACCATTTACTGTGTCAGGCTCTGTTCTAGATACAGGAAAGCAGGAAACCTTTCTCCCACACACAGATGCACACATGAATCAGGTGAAAAGCTCAGTTGGTCAAATGCTCTCTGTGTAAGCATGAAGACGGGATCTCACTTCGCTGAAGCTAAGTTTTAAAAGCCAGGCATGGTGGCATGCACTTGTAATTCCAGCTCTGGGAAGGTGGAGCCAGCCAGCCTCATCCGTCTCTCAAGGGGAGATCCTGTCTCAAGAAGTTAGGCAAAAGGTATGGGTGTGGTTGCCCACACCTTTAATCCTAGCACTGAGGAGGCAGAAGCAGGCAGCTTTCTTAGTTCAAAGACAGCCTGTCCACATAGAATTCTAGGCCAACCAATCTAAAAAGTAAAAAAAAAAAAAAAAAAAAAAAAAGGAAGAAGAAAGTAAGGTGGAAGGCAAGTTCACCGAAGGAACAGCACAGGAAGTATATTCTGGCCTTCACATGTGCGAGCACATGAAAGTACACACCCCTCCCACATGCACATACAATACAGATAAAGCCAAAATGCTTGGCTCCTGAAGAATGACACCTAAAATTGTCCTTTGGACTCTACACACATGTACAAATGAATGCGTGTGCATGCACACACACACACACACACACACAACACCACTATACACCACTAACACATATAATGAGGTGAAAAGATTCAGCATGATTCACAAGTGGCAGAACAAAGGATAATCAAAGAGGATAGGGAAGGAGCTTGGAGTGGCAATATGTGGACTAACGGTTTGTGGCCCCCTTCCCAGGTTATAGTACAACTGCTGAGCTGTAATGTGATGATTTGGAGCTGAAGTCTGAGAGGGCGCTACTCTTATGAAAGGGCTTAGTCCCTCACAAGAAGAAAGAGACATGGAGGAGGTTCAGCACTCAAGAACATTTACTGCTCTTACAGATTTAACACCCTTATATGAAGAGACATGCTAGAAAGATGGTTTAGCAGTTACGGTCACTTATTGCTCCTGTAAAGGACCCAGGTTTGGTTCCTAGTACCCACCATGGGGGCTCACAACCACCTGTAACTCCATTTCTATTGGCTCCAACAGCCTCTTTGGCCTCTGCAGTGTCCTGCATCTATACAGTGTACATAAACTCAAACATTCACATAATTAATTAATTAATTTCTTTAAAAGGGAAAAGGTCGGGCAGTTTTTCTCTCTGTACCCTGTGAGTAGATAATTAGGATTAGAATAGTTTTTAAAGGTTTTATTGTTTGGAATTATGTTTGTGTTTTAGTGTGGCCTTATGCACATGAGTGCACAAGGAGGCCGGAGGTGCTGAATCCTGTTGGTCTGGAGATACAGGCGCTTGTGAGATGCCTGACAGGGGTGCTGGGAACCAAAGTTAGGTCCTCTGCAAGAGCAGTCCCCACTTTAACTGCTGAGCCATCTCTTCAGCCCAAGGGTTGGAATCTTCACTTTAGACTTCTCAGCCTCCACAACTGCTGGATTAAGTAAGTCCCTGGATCCATGATACTTTGTTACTGCTGCAGTGTTTCTGAAAGGGGGGCTTTGGGAGCTCGCTGTGTGGTGACTCCCAGGAAAAACCTGAAAAGGACAAAGCACACCCTGAAGCTATCTGGAGGAAGAAGGAGTGGGACGTGGGCTCAGAAAGCAAACACACTTAGGCAGGGCTGGCCCTGGTGTGTGTCAAGACAGGACGAGTCAATAAGATATACTGGAAAGACTAGTTGGAGAACAGGCCTCAGAGGGCCTATATCAAAATGTTAGATTTCAGTGTTACTCTCTACTGACAACCACAACCTCAAATTACCCTAAATAATTCATTTTGTGTCCCCCCATTAGCCCCTTCCTCCTCACTGAGAAAGGATTATCACTTGACTGAGTCTTGGTGCCATGTTCTTACTATATTCCATTTCTATTTTATATTTCTAATTATGTGTATATGAGTGCATTTGTGTGAAAGAAAGTGCCATGTGCAGGTACCTCTAAAGTGCTGAAGAGGACACTGGATCCCTTGGAGCTGGAGTCACAGATGGCTGTGAGCCACCTGACCTGGGTGCTGGGAACAGAACTTGGGTCCTCTCTAAGAGCAGCATGCCACTCTCCAGTGCCATGGTCTTGATAAAGTTTGAGACTGAAAACAGAATGTGGGAACTGGAAGATGGGTCAGTCAGTAAAGTACTTGCCATGCAAGCATGAGGACCTGAGTTCAGACTGCCAGCACGGGTCATTGCAGACCATGTCTGTAATCTTAGCACTGGGGAGACAGAGACGGGGAGATCGCTGGAGCTTAGTAGTCAGCCAGTTTGGCTGAACTGAATCATTGAACTCCATGTTCAGTGTGAGAGCAAGTCTCAAAGAAATAAGGAGAAAAGCCATTAAAGAAGTTAGCTAACCAGATTATGTCAGAGGCAGTCCCTCTTCCCGTTACTATGGAACCCACTTGAACACTAAACTCATGGGCTACATCTGTGCAGGGGTTCTAGGTTATCTCCATGCATGGTACTTGGTTGGAGTATGAGTCTCTAGGAAGACCCCCCTGAGGGGGAAGCAGCCTTACCAGGCCACAGAAGAGGACAATGCAGCCACTCCTGATGAGATCTGATAGACTAAGATCAGAAGGAAGGAGAGGAGGACCTCCCCTATCAGTGGACTTGGGGAGGGGCATGCGTGAAGAAGGGGGTAGGAGGGTGGGATCGGCAGGGGAGAAGGGAGGGGCTTACGGGGGGATACAAAGTGAATAAAGTGTAATTAATAAAAATTAAAAAAAAAGAAGGTGACCTCTGGTCTCTACATGCACATGCGAACACAGACATGTGTGAACATGAGCGTGCGTTTGCCCATACACACACATACACACACACGACTACACACACATCATATAAACAAACTCACAGAGAACAAAAACAGTATGTGCATACGGCAAAAATGTAAATAATATGAAGGGATAAACATTGAAAAGCAACATTCCTCTATGTTCTTGCTCTCCAGATCCTGCCCTAGACACAATCATTAGAAGCTGCATGCTATCCTTCCAGAAATAATCTATGCTGATCTATTCTTTATAAACCCAGACACAGCTTCTGGCAGGTGGGTCACTGGGTAAAAGTACTTTCTGCACAAGCACGACTATACAGGAATTTTAATTCAGCAACATGGCTATTCTGGCTGGAATACAGACATGCATTTAATCCCAGGAGACGGAAACAAACAGATCTTTGAGTTCAAGGCCAGCCTGGTATAGAGCAAGTTTCAGGTAAAGAAAAGCTCAGGTCCAAGCATGGTGGCACATGCCTTTAATCCCAGTACCTAGGAGACAGAGGCATGTAGATGTCTTCTCTCTCTTCAGGCAGTTGGATTGAGTCAGGGACCTGAGAGGCAGTGCAGGGAAGGGGAGTTCAGTGCATGCAGGTCAGCAGAGGCAGTTGAAGCAGAGAGCAGCAGGGAGAGGAAAAGAGAGGAGGCATTTTTACTGGGGGGAGTTCTACAGAGTCAGGGTGAAGATAGAACAGGCTAGACATGGGTAAAGACAGAAGAAGCCAGAGAGTGAAAAGGAGCCCAAAGATTAGAACAGATTGCTAGAGTTAGTTTGAGGCCAGGCAGAACAATTCAGTCAGAAGTGAGAGAAGCCAGATAGAATCAGTCACCTTGGAGACCAGTTTGACCCAGAACAACTGAGTTGAACCAGCTATCCAGAGTTCTGAAAGAGCTAGCAAGGGTGAGCTTATTCAGCAGTAAGTCTCAGAGGCTGAAAACATTCTGGGCCTAGATTAGATTGTATGGAGGCTAGAAGCTTCTAGGAATACGCCTAGGTTAGCAGACAGAGGCAGTAAGCCTCAGAGACAACGAAATCATGAATAAAAGTTACTTTTATACATGAGGATCTGATTTTGAATCCTCAGAATCCAATCCCAGTGCTGAGGGTGGAGAGCACAGACTACAAGATTGCTGGGGTTTACTGGTTGCCAGCCTAGCCAAAACCAAACCAAACGAAAAGCAAAGAACCTGTGAACTCCAAGTCCAGTGAGAGATCTTCTCCCAAAGGAATAAGGTGGAGCACAATAGAGGGCAAGCAAGGATCTTATCCGGCCTTGGCCTGCATCTATGTGCACATCTCCACCCACATCTCCTCATACACTACCTTCACATACACAATATATCCACTCACACCTGGACAGAAGGATGCTATGCACATCATGTCATACATTTTACTACAGATGTGTCTTATAGGCACTTTCACATCACATTGGGGTGGGGGGATGGCTAGCTGACTCTTTCTAGTGACACATTTCTTTTACTTGTCAGTTCATTACCAGGAAGCATTTAAGCTATCCACTGGTCACTTCTGGTTTCGTTCTTTTGACTTTGAAGGCCATGGTCATGAATGACTGACTTCCACTCCAATATGCATAGTTTTAATGTCTCCAGTCCTATATTCCTCTCTCATGTGTCCATTGCGACGACTTAGTGCTTTGATTCAATAAGCTTCAGTTCTGGGTTCCTTCAACTGAGTCACTACAGAGACCCAGTATGCACACCTAGGAAGTTAGAAAGTTTTTTTACTCAGAGAAAGAAAATCAGGGGCTGGAGGTGAAACTCAGTGGTACAGTCCCCACACAGTATGCACGGTCCCAGTTTTAAATCCCAGTACTACAAACCAGAAAGAGAATATGAATCCTGTCTATTCTTAAAACAAGACGGAGGCCACTGTGGGACCTGATAATGCTCAGCCACCTGCCGCTACTCAGGCAGGAGGGAGGGCACACAACGGTGAAGACAGCCTGGAGGCTGCTCTGCTCTGGGACCAGACAGTCACTTCTGCTGCACAGTCTAGACATTAACAAAGTGAAATGGTCATGGTTTCCTTTCTTGAACAACTTACAAGAACGGGCAATGGAAGCCAAGAGTAGGCAGGAAGGTAAGATTATACTGGGCAGCTTTCAACATGTCTGAGTGGCCCCTGCACTCAAGATGGAGAAAAAAAAGAACAAAGTACAGCATAATTAGCCCAGTGTTAAGAAAACTATCCTTCTTCTTTGCTTGACTTCATGAACCTCCTGCCTCGGGCTCCTGAAAGCAGGCACAATCTATTTTTAACAAAACAAACTTAACAAAAAACTCAACCAAACAAAATCCCACACACATTTATGGAAGTTCAATCACCCAGTAGGGATAGAAAAAAATTGAGGCATCAAGGGAGGCAATATTAAGGAGCAGGCTGATCCAGCCTTCACATCCCAAAAGCTCCAGTGCGGAGCAGCACTGCTACCGTCCTGTTGGGGGGGGGGGGCAGAGGTCCACGAAGGGTATTGGAACAGTGACACCAAGCACCGTGGAGCCTGAGCCAGTGCAGGACTTCTCTGCCCGCTCAGCTGCACAGAGCAACTTCATTTGAGGTAGAAAATGTCAACTTCAGGGCCAGCTGGGACACAGCTAGCAAAGACAAGGCTCCTAAGTCACACAGGGCAAAACACTGTGCACTAGGTTACGGCTCCACACTCTCTAGCCCTGTCCGAGAACCTGTCCAGACCTCTGGCAAGCAGGCTCACACACTCCTTCACCCCTTCTCCTCCCAGGGAAGAGCCTGATGATGCTTTCCTGAGGAAAATACAACCAAACAGTTAGGGCCAATCACAAGCATATTTAATTAGCTTTTAAAAACTTTGATAATTCTTTTATTAATAAATTATTTCTCCTGCTCCAAAATCTTTCCCCCAGATAAGTATCTCAACCCCTCATGTGAAGAGGGCCATTCAGTTGAGGGGGGGGATTATCTGAGGGCCAGTTCTCCTAGAAGGTCAGGGTCCTAATGTTAAAACAGGTCTCTAACCTGTTTTCAGCCCCACCCCAGGCTGAAACCTAGAATGGTTGAATTTTAGTCCATTTGAATGGGTGAGACCTGGTACCGGGTCTGCCCCTTAGGTCAGACAGTCTTTTCAGACCTCAGTGTTGGGAAAAAGAGACCCCTTGTGCAATCACTTTGTGAGCCAGCCTGAGGCTCTTTTTCAGTTCTTGAGCCAGGAACAGGACAACCAGACACCAAGGAAGGCTTCCTGAAGGCTGGTCCCAATGCCTGGAGATGACTCACGGCCTTATCCCACCTCCCCTGTGATTGGAGGCGTCTGGTTCAGGGCTGTATCTGGAGAGCCGGGCTCATGATGAAAGAATTATGAGCTGGCTCAAGCTTGGGTGTTAGTCACGGCATCAGTGCCACACCCGAGCAGCTCTGTCCACGAGGCTCTTCCATAGGGTAAACTTCTCTCCTGCAGCACTGCCTCCAGACCAGCAAGCCTGAAAACAGGGCCAGCACCAGGGCCAGGCTCAGAGCAACCCTTAGGGAAGGAAGGGGGAGGAAGGGGTGGGAAGCGTGGCAGTCTATGCCAGGCAGAAGGTGAGGTTACCCAGCATAGCCTACTTGCTCAGACCTGGCTCTAAGAGCCACTGCTAGAGCAGGATGGTACAGGGTAAGATGCAGATTTGTTTCTACTTGGCAAAGTAGGAAACTGAGGCTTGGAAAGTTGGGAAATTCCCAAGTAACAGCAACAACAAACCAGTTTTGGCCCTGTACCTAGCACGTATCAGGAGCTACTGCTTCAGCTCTAGTCTGGCTTGAGTGTCCCCAGGACCCCGTGCTACTGTGTGGGGTGGTGGAGGTGCCACTCTCCAGGGGAAGTGGTCCAGGGACATCTTTAGGACCCCTCCACATATACCCACACATTCCCCACACTGATCACACTATACCTGGTCACTCTTTCCAATCCTGGGGCAAGTGTGCAAATTCTGGATAGGGAAATATATGCCATTAGCTTTGAGCTGCAATTCTGGTGGCAGCCACCAAGTAATTCCTGGGCTAGGGGTTGTATTGAATCACACTAATATAGGGTAGTTCAGCAGCTCCAATTAAATGGCTCCCACACCTCCCCAAAGTAAAGGCATGGAAACTTTGATTGGCTTTTGGCTGCCTCATTCTCAAGTGTAAAGCAAGCAAACAAACAAAAACTCATATGTCACTAAGTATTTAAATAATAAGGCTTATTATTTAGACAAAATTATTATTATTTACACAAAATATCTAAATGAAAAGGGGAAAAAATAGAATGAATTGAATAAAATTTCTAGGTTAAGTCCATATAATACTTAGTGATGAGATTCTATGAAATAAGCATATGGCATGAGATAGAAAAAACAGAATAAAAAATAAATAAAAAGAACTCTTTAAAAGTAACTGCTAGAGGTGGAAGAGACTAACTAGTTAAGATTAAAAACACAGGACAAAAACACAAAACAAAACAAAACCAGAGGACACAGACAGGCATGATGGCACATGCCTTTGATCCCAGCACTCAGGGAAGAAGCAGGTGGATCACTGTTGAGTTTAAGGCCGGCCTCAGCTACAAAGTAAGTCCAGGACAGCCAAGGCTACACAGAGAAACCCTGTCTCTAGAAAAACAAACAAACAACAAACAAACAAAAAACAAACAAACAAACAAAAAACCCGAGGACAGATGGTTCTAGAAGTCTCAGAGGGGAAAAAAAGCCAAATAGAAGTCATTCGGTAATCTGACCATGACCACCTAGAAAACTGCATTAAGATTACACTGAAAATGTGCAAAGAATTAAAAGTACACAGGACTGAAGATATGGCTCAGTGGGTAGGAGTTCCTGCTGTGTAAACATGAAGATCTGAGTTTCAATCCCCAGAATTCACATATGAAGCCAGGCATAGCTACCCCTGCAGGCAGCTCCAGTGTTGTGGGGGATGGAAACAGACATGTAATGGCAGTTGAGTGGTCCTCTCAAAAGTAATTAAGATGGAGAGCCAGTCGACCAATCAATGACCCCACACCCATGAGGGCATGGGCAGCATAAACTAGAAAATGAAACAAATGAAAAAATGAGGCTATTAACTTGACCCCCCCCCATTAATGACAGGAAACAAATCACCCTAGAAACCAAAATAACTGAGAGCACTGTCTGCTAACAAGCAGCAAAAGAAAATATGGTGGATGCCTACATGTTTCAGAGTGAGGGAGGGGATACTGGAAAGGATAGGAGGACACACCGAGGGACACAGGACACAGGACTGCTTCAGAGCAGGGAGGAGTGGGAGGCACCAACCTGTTTCAGGGCAGGAGAGCATGGGATCAGTTCTCCTATTCTGTTTATTCCAGCATTGATTTTCTTCTTTCTGTGCCTCTCCACTAGAAAGAGGAAAAACAGATTATCAACCCTTATACTACTTGGCCAAAGTGTTCAGAGGAACTGTCCGTAATGAAATCACATACAGAAGAGGAGGGGTCTAAAGGTCAGTGGCAGAACACCTTCCACTGGACCTGGAAAAATAAACTGAACCCTAAACCAATAACCATTATTCACCAAAGATAAGTGACTAAGATTGTATATAAGATTTTTAAGAATGCAATATTTTAAGTCAAATGTTACAAAAATAAATGTATGCATCATTTTTATAAGCACTGTAAAGAAAATCATAAATAACTACACTGAAATGATAAAGAGGGGACTGGAAAGACAGCTTAGTGGTTTAGAGCACTGGCTGTTCCTCCAGAAAACCAGGGTTTGATTCCCAGCACCCACACAGCAGCTCACAACCATCTGTCCCTTCAGTTCAAGGGGATGCAAAGACTTCTGCTTCGCAGGGCACACAACTGCTGCACAGACATGCGTGCAGGCAAACGTCCACATATATTTAAAAAAAAACGATAAAAGATACTGTCAATAAGGTGTTAGTATTAGGCCATCTTTCCATTATAATTCAAATAACTAGTAGAGATTTATTGATAAACAAATTTAGTTTTTAAATTACTTTGTGTGTGCACATGCATGTGCAGCACACACATGGAGGTCAGATGTGACTTTAAAGTCAGTTCTCTCTATCATGTCTGCTCCGGTTATCAAGCTCAGGCTGACCTGCTCAGTGGCAAGCCCCTTCACCTGCTGAGCCATCACAACAGCCCAACTGATAACAAAAGCTGCCTCTTTTTTAGCAAATGAGAACTGTTTTTAAAATTTAAGAACCTTAAAATGCCTACCGTAAGATGACTAGGCCTTCAAGGAATAGAAGCTATTGGTTATATCTTAAAATAGATAAGAAAAGGCATTGGTTTGGTTTATCGTTTCTGGGATATCCCACTTTGGCCACGTAGGATCTTTTCTGTTCTAGAAATAGGGAGTACCAGCTAGCACTAACAATCAACTTAGCACAGCCTAAGATAACCTAGGAAAAGAGAATTTTAAAGAGGAATTATCTAAATCAGGCTGTCCTGTGGTCATATCTGTGGGAGACGGTCTTAACTACAAATTGATGCAGTAAGTCTGTGGTGGGTGCTCCATTCTGTATGCAGAGATCCTAAATGGTGTATGAGAGGAGGAAGGTAGCAGAAAACAAGCAAGAATGTATTTATTGTTTCTTTGCTTTGACCATTAATGTCATGTGACTAGCTGCTTGAGTTCCTGCCTTGAGTTTCTGTCAGTGATGAACATCAACTTGGAATTGTAAAACAATTAAATTTATTCCTCCCCTATGTTGCTTTTGGTCAGGATATTTTATTATGGCAACAGAAATGAATCTAGTATACAAGGCAATTGACAACTTGCTAATTGACAAAATGTTCCAGACTGACATGCTAAAACTCTAAAACAAGTAAGACTACAAAAGAGTTCATTTAGATAATTTCTATAAGATGCTAAAAGTATAAACATGCCTCTTGGGCTGGAGAGATGGCTGAGCAGCTGAGAGCATGTACTACTCTCCCAGAGAACGTGATTCAATCCCTAGCACACACATTAGGTGGTTCACAACCACCTGTAACTCCAGCTCCTAGGGGCTCTAAACCTCTGTGGGCACCTGCGCACACCAACACACATAATTAAAAATAATAAAAATTTAACACATGCACATAATAATAAATTATTCTTGGCTATCTTATATGTCTTTATTTCTAATAAGTGATTGCAAGGCTTTTAAGTATAGTTTACTTTATTAATTTTCTAAAAAATTGTACTCATTGATATCCAAGTGAATTTCAAAGATGATAAACTCATCCCACCAGTGTTCAATGTATCTTTCTGGATAAACTCTCCCCAGAGATCCTTGCCTTATGTCTATCTATAGTTGCAGATGTGGAGTAATAGAAAGTAACTTTAATTTTTTTTCTGGTGCAGAATACAGTCTCTAATTCAAAATAAATACAAATTCAAAATAAATATGCCAAAATGAAAATGGATACACAATTAATATTGTATACTTACCTGGCTTTGGCCTGTACTTCTATCATTAGAGGTAAGATCATATTTTTTTATACATATGTTTTTATGATAGACATCTGTACAACCTAAGACTGCCCACATGCCCTAGGCATAGCGGCATGTAATGCCAGCCCTCAGGAGGCAGAGACAGGTGGCTGTCTGTGAATTCCAGCCAGCCAGAGCCACACAGAGAGACTGTCTCAGAAGGAAGACTGCCACATGCTAACAGCCCACTGCTCAGCTTCCTCAGGGAGCTGCCCTCTGGAAAGTGTGCAGACATAACCCTTATTCTCCTGATGTCCTGGGTGAAACCCCTTCCAACAATATCCCCCCCAAATATTCTAATTTCATAACAAATCCAAAATAGGCTATAAATTGGATGTTATACAGTCAGCTCTATGAGGCTCTGGAATATTTTATCAATAAGAACAATAAATTTGCCCTTTCTAAAATATAACAAATAATTCCATGTTTACAACATAAAAACTTATTATAATCAACCATGGCATAACTGATCCCAGTAAAGTTCGAGTTGCTGCACATACCTGCATTGTGTGTCTCCCGGTTCTTCTTTCTGAAATGGAAAGTGCACAGACAGATGACAGGAAGATAACAAAAAAAGCATTTTTTAGTTTCATAACCATGAAAACAAATTTTATAAAACCGTATTTATTGCATCAATAAAAAACCACCTGAAGAAAAAATATTTAGTGTATATTATAGTAAGAAAAGTTTAATGCAGATCTTCCTTCTTTCCTTCCTTTCTTCGTTCCTTTGTTCCTTCCTTCCTTCCTTTTTCCGAGGCAGGGTTTTTCTTTGTAGCCTTGGCTTTCCTGGACTCTCTTTATAGAGCAGGCTGACCTCGAACTCAGAGATCTGCATGCCTCTGCCTCCCTGAGTGCTGAATTACAAGCATGCACCACTATGCCTGGCTCAGATACTTTCAGAAAATTTTAATAGACATAATTTTGAAAGGTAAGAACAATTCTTTACTGATACCCAGAAATCACACACTAAGAATAGAGTCAATCACAGAAAATCTTCACTATTTGAAAATGTAATTCAAGTGCGGATGTGCAGGGGAGGTGCTGGGAGCTGCAGCAGGAGTGAGTAGGAGAGAGGAGCAACAGCACAGGGCAGCCTTGCCATTCCAGTCAAGGGAAATGTGGTGGTGGCAACATTTACAGTATCAGCCGCTTCCAAGTCATCTTTTCCATCTGTGTACTCAGGTTGTCCAAACTCTTACATTTTCTTAAAATTTCTACTAAAGACATTGACTTTCCCATTTTGCATAATTACCTAACACATTAGCTTTCACCAAGAGCTATTTGGTGAAAGAGAATATAGTAGTTTTAACGTTATCAAAAGCAGTGGCCACACAATTCTAGTCAGACATTGCCTAAAGTGCTAGAAACTCAGAAGAGGCTGTGAGAAAATGAAAGTAACGCTATATATATTGTCACTAATGGATTATAATGTTACAATAAGTACAATCTAAACGTTTCAGGATCTACAAAAGGAATACAGCATGCCAGTGAAAATGTCCTAGAAAACAAATGTGTAACACAGATTTGATATGTTTTAACTACTTATGACCATTCTTACTTGTCACCCTTCTGAGGTAAATTTTAACCATGTGAATCTCTTAGTAAATCTATTTCCATCCACCCATACATAGTTCTGAAGATTAATCATTTTCTAGAACACAAATGCAAGTTCATTAAGGACTGTTTAGCAAACTAATTCTGCTTCCTACCCATCTACATGATATTATTTGGGGCTGTGGATACATACCTGTGTTGCTTTTTTGTAGGTGTCTCATGCTCTGTCATTTCTGGCATGGTGACAGTGATAGGAACCTACAAAGGGATTAAAAAAACCATATCAAAACAGATACACCAAGAGGTTTACTCATTCTGGAGTTTGAAGAAATCAAATGGCAATTCGATTTTAATACCAAAATGCTACATACAAATTAACACAGAAAAACACTCCTGTGGGTATTGTGGGTGAAAACAGGAATAAGGAAATAGGATGCAAGCTTGAACTCTCAGCACTCAGAAGGTTGATACCCGGAGGATCGTGAGGGTAGAGCCTGTCTGGGCTGCATCGTCAGTATCAGACTAGCCTGGGCTTCAGAGTAACATCTCACTGGGAAAGCTGGGAAAGGGCTTGGCCAGCATGAACTGTGAGGATACATGGCCAGACCACCCTCCAGAAACAATGAAGGACACATACTATTTTAAGTAGCAGATGTAAAACATGGTGAGGCTTTCTTCAGCTTCAAAGTGCCAGAAGTCTCATGTTATCAATGGAGACCCACTAAAATGTGGGTATGAAAACCTTATCAAAATTTAAAATATGAAGACAATGGATTTTCCTTTCTTCCTTCATTCTTTTTCTCTTTCCCCTCTCTCTATTGAGTTCAGAGATGGCCTCAAAAACTTGTAATTTCCATGCCTCAGCTTCCTGAGTGTTGGGATTATAGGCATACACAACTACTTGGCTATAAACAGATGTCCTATAGGGAGACATACACACAAATGGGGAATTCCCAGAGGCAGAAACATTAATATGTGAAGTGCAGTTATACAAGGTCAGCAAGACTACTGGTGATTTCCTTCTCCTCTGTGATTTTCCAGAGTTTGATAATGAAACTGTTAATGATTAACTTCCAGGAATCGCAAAAGCCTTCCAAAAGAGGCCACCAAGCTAGAGTACCTGTTGGGCTGGCTACAAGGGAGAAGGTACATATATGACTTCCCTTTTTCTTCTGGGAAGGGAAAAGGGGTACTAAGTATAGAGGTGAATTCTGAAAGCATGAATTTAAAATATGGCTGTGCCACTTTCTAGTTGTTTGGTCATGAGCAGATTCTAACCCCTTCTGAACCTCAGTTCTACATAATGGGGTTGTTTTGAGAAGGGACTAAAATAATGCAAGGAAGGTAAATCACTGTGGTGCTTGGAAGCAATCAGGATTCAGGGAATGTTAGCACTGAATATTTACAAGATATTTTAGAATAAGTACTAGCCCTAAAAAGGAGGGCGTCAGGAGGATAAACACAGGAGAGGGACTGATACGGCCTGTGGAGAATATGTAGTCAAAACTCATCTCCAGGGCTAGCAAGATGGCTCAGTGAGTAAAAGTGTTTGCAACCAAGACTGATGATCTTAGTTCCTTACAGAAGAAACAGGAACTGACTCCTGCAAGTTGTTTTCTGACCTTCACACATGCCATATGACAGTCCACACACGCATGCATGCGCACACATGCACACATACACATCCAACTATTATGTTTTTCAAAAATAACTCACTTCAGCAGCACTGTTCCTGCACTTCCTTCTCCTTACAATTGGTGAAGCTTCCTAAGGCCTGAAGAACCACTCCAGTGGATAACCAAGGAACAGTAATTCGGGATAAGCCAGCAAGCAAGCACACAAGCAACCCAGCTCCTTTCTCACCCAAGGAGTTTGCAGAGTTTCTTCACTTTGGATTCCTGGCTTCCAATACCTCCTCTTTCTGATTCAAATTTATCATCCTCTGCCAGAAGATGGTCTCTATAGGTTATATTTTCTTCTTACTACAAAAAAGAAAAACCAATGAGTATTCATAGCTACCAGGTATCCATGAGATGACGCTGGCAGCTGACAGCAGGCAGGCAAGTTTTAGAGACATGAAGAGAATCCTGACCTTTCCCCACCACTGGAGGACAAGCAGATACAACTATTCTCAAAAGCCTTTTTTTCAATGGGTAACCCATATTCTACCCCCTAAAAGGGGATCTTATAGGCCAGGGAGAGCATACAGACATGCTCTCTTCAATTCTGTATGCTCATGGTCCCTTGGGCCTTCATTGCCCACAGATCTCATAACATAGGGTCTAAGATTAAGACCCACCCTCAATTCTAAAAGTGTCTTTTCTTCTATTTCCTATTTTCCTTATTTAAAATTTTATTTCTCTCTACATGTGTCTGTATGAGAACTGTGTGGTGTGTGTTCACATGTGTGTGCATGAAGACATTCATGTGTGAATGCAGATGCAGGAGGTGATGCCAGTTCTTTTGGTTGCCCTCTATTTCACTCTTTTTGAGGCAACGACTCTCATTTGAACTCAGAGTTTGCGGTCAATATGCCTAGTCTTCACAGCTAGGCTGTTCTGGAAGCCACCCTCAGAGGCTGGAATTACAGGTGAGCCGCCATGCCCATCCAATATTTGTGAATTTGGGGGATCCTCACTCTGGTCTTCCCACAGCAAAGGCTTTAGGTGTGCCCCAGCTCTCTGACCCCTTCTTTTTTGTAGAAGTGACTGACAACTTGTTCAGAGCTAAGAAGGCAGGCTGAAGATGTGTGGCCTGTGTGTGCAACAAAAAACACACTTTACAGCCTCCTGCCAGACCTACAAGTGAGAAGGGGTAGGAGGGCCTAGGGTTGTAAATCTTCTTGGGTGACATCCCTTTCTCCTTTCTTTTCTTCTTTCTCTGTGCTCAGAAAGCCTGAGAAACTCAGCTCTATTTTAGAATAATGTTTCCTAAGTATGCATAAAGGACTATCTAGAAGGTACCAGTACTTTCTGTCTGTGGGTTTCACGTCTATGAGTCCATAGGTGAAAGAAAACATGTGGGATTTATGTTTCTGAGCCTAGGTTACCTTACTTAAAATAATGTTTTTCAGTTCCACTGATTTCCTGCACATTTCATAACTTAAATTTTTCTTTATAATTGAATAAAATTCTATCATGTACATTACATCACCCATTCATCTGCTGATGGGCATCTAGGCTGACTCTATTTCCTTGCTACTATGAAGAGAGCAACAATAAATATGGATGGTCAGGTATCTCTACAATAGCAGATATAACCATTTGGGTATATGCCCAGGAATGGTATATATCAAGAGTGGGTCATACACATATGGAAATTTTATTTTTAGTTAGTTTTTTTTCCCTTGTGTGTGCCATGCATGCACTCCTATATGTGTGGTGTGTGGGGGAGGGGGGTGTGGGTGTGGTGTACACATATGAGTGTTTAAGTGCACCCACTTGTGGAGGCCACAGAAAGACATCTGGTAACTTCCTCTATCACTCTCCACTTTACTGCCCAATTCAAAGCTTTCTATCTTGTCTTCTTATACTATAATAAATAAGAGTGAAGAAAGTAGTCACTCTTTTGCTGTTCCTAATTTTAACAAAAATGCTATTTAAGGGAGTGTAAACTATTATAGCCACTGTAAAAATCAACGTGGAGGCTTCTCAAAAAACCTACATCTAGGGCTTGGGAAGTGGCTCAGTGGGCAAAGTGCTTGCTGTGTAAACATAAGATTCTCAGCACCCACATAAAAAAAGCTAGGTATGGCAGCACATGCCTGTGACCTCAGCCACAACGGATGGAGACAGTTGGATCCCAGAGGCTCCCTGGTCAGCGAGTTCAGTTGATACAATAAGCTCCAAGTTCAGCAAGAGACCTCTCCTTTAAAAATTAAATAAAGCCAAGGGCATGGAGAAAGATACTCAAAGTCAACCTCAGTTCTTCATATGTGTATGCATAGTGTACATGTTCACACATGCACATACATAAACCTATATATAGACATACCTACATATACACACACACATACATACATACATACGATACGTATGTACACATACTCACAAAAAGATCTAAAAGGAATATAGATTAAAAAGAGAAAAGTTAAATTATTCCCATTTGCCCTGCAGACTATCAATGTAGATGCTGAGACTTATGGGCAACCTTTGGGCAGAGTGCAGGGAATCTTAGGAAAGAAGTGGGAAACAGTAAGATCTGGAGAGGACAGGAACTCCACAAGGAGAGCAACAGAACCAAAAAATCTGAGCACAGGGGTCTTTCCTGAGACTGATACTCCAACCAAGGAACATGCATGGAGATAACCTAAGACCCCTGCACAGATGTAGCCCATGGCAGTTCAGTATCCAAGTGGGTTCCATTGTAATAGGAACAGGGACTGTCTCTGACATGAACTGATTGGCCTGCTCTTTAATTACTCCCCTCCCCCTGAGGGGGAAGCAGCATTACCAGGCCACAGAAGAAGACAATGCAGCCACTCCTGATGAGACCTAATAGACTAGGATCAGAAGGAAGGAAAAGAAGTCCTCCCTTATCAGTGGACTTGGGGAGGGGCATGCATGCAGAGGTGGAGGAAGGAAGGGATTAGGACAGGAGGAGGGAGGGAACCACAGGGGATACAAAGTGAATAAAGTGTAATTAATAAAGAAAAAAAATTCCCATTTGTAGATGACATGCTTCTATACTTTAAAAAACCCCATGGTTTTTTAAAGCGCGCGCGCGCACACACACACACACGCGCACGCGCACACACACACACAATCTAGACCTGACAAAAATCTTTGTTTTGATGGCACATGGATGTAGTCACAGCACTGAGGAAGATCATGAATTCCAGGTCAGCCAGGGCTACATGGTGAGCTCCTGACAGGGATAGAAGCGAGGGCCCAGAGGTTGGTGGACAGACACTGAACCTCCAGGCCACTGAGTTAGCTGAGCTGTCTGAGTAGCAGGGCTCAGAGGTATTCCTGTCTCTTTCCCCTCAGCACTGGAATTACAGGTATGTGCTCCATGCCTAGCTTTTACATGAAGGCTGGTGATGTGAACTTGGATTCTCAGCTTGCACAGCGTGTACTTTACTGACTGAGCCATCCAAAATTTACACTGCTGATGTTGAAAAAATAACCAGAATAAAGGACTACAGTATCATAAATCTTTGTTTACTTAACAAACAAACTACTAATGAATGGCTTTTCTTCTCTTCTTGGCACTGGGGTTTAAATGTCTCAGGGCCTTAGACCACTGAGTCACATACCCAGTTCAAATGGCATTTTTAATACAATATTTATATGACTAAATAAACATACTCCTTAAAATAGTTAAAGTGCCATGAATTTTTAAAGGTAAATGCTAAAATATTGTATTAATAATCTATGAGTTATTATATCTGTGCAGAAAAAAAAACAGAGTCAGGCCCAGTGATGGTCTTCAGATCTCCTTCATCAAATCGGACTTTCTATGACCCTTTTCCCTTGAGGTAAAACTCACACACAAATTGCAAACATCTTAAGCACACGATTCAGTGAGCTTTGACAGGTGAACATACTGCTATGACCCAATCCTCCTCAAACTACAGACATTACCAGCAGGCAATGTTATTTCTTGGCCTTCCCTAGTCAACCCTTTCCCAATTTTACAGCTAATTATTTTCCTGTTTCTTCCACTGGACTTATAGAGATGTATTAGCTGGAACTCGCTTGTGGCACGCTTGCACTCAGTTTAATGTAAATGTGTATACTTTCTTCCAGGAGTCTGCTCCTTTTTAGTACTAAGTATGAACCTATAACTGTGTATGAAATTTATAACATTGGCTGTTTATCCATTTTTTCTATTGATCAATTGCCATTTTGTCCTCTAAGTGCTACTGGCACAAATTAAAAACACCATAAGGACAGACAGTCACTAAAAGTTTGCTGAGCATTTTGCGCTGGTTGCTGGCATCTGGGCAGTTTTCTAAGTAGTAAATGACATATTACTTCTATGAGGGATTTTTTTTTTTTTTCCTAAAAGGCCCAGATACACTGTGGACAATGGAAGGCTACATCTGCATAGTTTCATCTAGCTTAGCATTTGGACTCATCCCTCCTGCCTGAGGGCTCTAGGATCTTCCTGTCTTCTTGGTGCCCAAAGCAGGTTCCTCTTCACAAATAAATTGCACTGTGTGAAATCCTGGATCTGTTTATCATTTTCCCTTGGCCTGTCAGTCCCAGAACTTGCTCCCTTTGGTGGCCAGTTTTCACAAACCAGGTTTCCTGAAACAACTAATGGTCTTGGAGTTTCTTTTCCGGGTGATAAAAATGTTGTAAAGTTGACTATGATGATGATGATACAACTTTGCAAACAAACTAAAACCACATGGAGCAGACACTAAGTGACTGGACACAAAATACAAACGCACCTCAGTCATCTTTTTCTTTCTTTTCTCTCTCTCTCTGTTTTCAACAGTCTTATCAAGCACAGATTGGCATCAAAACTTATTTTATAACCCATTCTGGTCTTGATCTGATGCCTCTGTCTCAGCCTCCCAAGTGCTAGGATTACAGGTATGAGCTAACACCTCAGGCCAGGAAACTTAGAAAGCAAAAGCAGCACAGAAGCAACCTGAATTTACTGTTTTCATACAACAAAATATTCAAACCACTTGCTTCAAATGTGTTAGAATCTTAAGCTGGGTGGTGGTGGTCCACACCTTCAATCCCAGCACTTGGGAGGCAGAGGCAAGTAGTCTCTGTGAGTTTGAGGGCAGCCTGGTCTACAAAGTGAGTCCAGGACAGCCAGGGCTACACAGAGAAACCCTGTCTTGAAAAACAAACAAACAAACAAACAAACAAACAAACAAACAAAAAGTGTTAGAATGTTAAACTGAAATTCTAGTACTGACATAGTTTAAAAGGAAAAAGTAGGAAGGTAAAGAAAGCCGAAGAGTCCAGTTTCAAAGCTACAGCAATCAAAATGGAATGGTATCAACATGCAGATTAAT